ACCTGACACACACTCATCTCGGATCTTTTCTCTATTGACATGCTCTAGTCGAGCATCTGATACAACTTAAAAGCAAAATTCACTACTAGTGACTCATCTCCATCGCACCCGAGTGACTCGCACATCATCTCCGCTAGTTCCATTTTCACCATGTTGAATTTGAACCCAACATCATATTCTTTTGCCAGCTGACTCTGTGACTCGCCGACCTTTTTTAACCTCTCATCTCCACCATTGTCTGCCACAACCGCCGTCAATTTCATGACAACCTTCTCTTCCTAATGACCTAAGAGAAGGGGGATTAGATTCATATGCTGACCTCCCTTCCTGATATTAAAATCCACACCGTGTAGTTTTCGATCATCTTCCTTTATAGCCTCAAGAATTGCGAGACTCGTAGCCATGAAAGCAAGCTTAAAGCAACCAGAAACATAGTAAAGCGACTGAGTTGCTGCCGAATGTTCATTGCCGAAAATCTACACCATAGGTGGCAAAAATTCCGTTAGATTTATCCACGATTTTAGAGCGAAAACCATGTACTATGCTAATCTCTACATAGAACTCTCTCGCATTCGAAATCTTAACAACCGGTGCAAGAATCTCACCACAACCTCCAATTTCCCCATAGAAATGGTCGTCGCAACCTCGATTACAGACTATTTTCAAGAATTGGAAGACGGAGAAGCCACATAGGATGACATAACGAAGAAGAAGAAGATGAAACAGAGGCTTTTGATTCGGCGGCGCCGTCAAACTAATTAGCTTATACATTGTCTCACACCAAGCACTAGTCGAACTCGTAATCACAGACGCAGCATCACTTCCATTATTGTCGTCGTTATCTTCAAGAAGCTATTTCTCCAACTCCTGAGGGAGATGATTCATCATCTTCTTCTTCGAGTCTAGATTCTACAAATCCGGAGGTCCACCGCCAGTGAAACCTAACTACATCTCTGTTAATCCTCTGTCTGATGTACTTTTTCTATCCTCCAAATCTCCCTTGATCACATAAGCAGAAGGTTGTGCCACATAAACCTCCTCATCCGAGTGGTTTTCTCTTTCTGCCACTTCGTTTTGCTGTGGTCTGCAGGTTTTAGTGAATTGTCGATGTATTCCATGATTTGAGCACAACTCAATAAACTCAGTAGATGTGAACTCTCGACCTCTATCAATTCTCAAACCTAAAATATTTGTCCCAGTTTCTTTGTCCACATTTCTTTTGAAAAGTTGGAACATTCTGAAGGCTTCTATTTCAAACAAACAATCTGTTGAGTCCTCCTTTTGTTCTATCATCTCTTTAACATATGACAACATATGACAGGAGAAGCAATGGTCATAAAAATTAAAACACTCAACATGAGTTTTGTTAAAACCTGGTCTCCCATGTCCTCGTCCTCTACCTCGAATTGTGCCACCTCCATGATTTGTTCTCCCTGTATTGCTGTCAACAGTGATCTTCAATGTCTGCTCTTCCACATTATGTCTTTGCAATTCATTAATTTGTCATGATGTTTAAATCGTTGGATTCTCTATTGCAGCAAGCCATGTAATCAAACTTTGAAGTCATGGAGCGCAGGATTTTCTCAATAATGCTAACATCAGTCATCTTTTCACCATGAAAACGCATTTTGTTGGCAATGGTGAGAGTATGAGAAAAGAAATCAGAAACAGTCTCACCTTCCTTCATATGAAGGGCCTCAAAGTCCTTGTGCAGAGCCTGTAGTTGTGCTCATTTCACCATTGTATTTCCTCATATGAAGGGCCTCAAAGTCCTTGTGCAGAGCCTGTAGTTGTGCTCATTTCACCATTGTATTTCCTTCATATGAAGGGCCTCAAAGTCCTTGTGCAGAGCCTGTAGTTGTGCTCATTTCACCATTGTATTTCCTTGGAATTTTTCTTCATTGAATCCTAAATTCCTTTCGAAGTTTCTTTATCCAAAATAGTCTCCAGAATTTAGCGATTGATGGCATGGAAAAGGTAGTTCTTAGCTCTAAAGTCTTTAAATTTCTGATCTACTACCTCCATCTATTCATATGAGTATTCAGCATCATCTGCTACAGTTGAAATCCTAGAGTCAACTACTTGCCAATATTCTATGGAGCGAAGAAAGTTCTGAATTAACGTACTCCAATGATCGTAGTGACCAACAAATTTTGGTATTGCTGGTCGAACAAAGATGCCTTCAGTAGTCATCTATAGCTGCGGCTGAAAGAGTCAAGGCTCTGATACCAAATGATAAATTTAATGAATATAAGAAAGAGACAAGACTCTGATACCAAATGATAAATTTAATGAAGATAAGTTTGCAGAAGGAAGGATAAGAAAGAGACAAGACTCTGATACCAAATGATAAATTTAATGAAGATAAGTTTGCAGAAGGAAGGAAATTCGGTACTTTATCATGTGAAGAATGACTATATTTATAGTCAGTACAATGCTTAACCGAAGATAAAAATAAAATCCTAACAAAGAGCAGAATGTCATGCCAAAACAAAGAATTTAGCTTAAGATCATATCTATGATCTGATATGGACATAAGATCATATCAGTGATGTAATATTTAATAACTAAAATACCTACAAGTACCGTGGGAGGGTACTATGATACCACTACACTAGATGTGCACATCCTGGAGGGAAGTACTGTCTTTTAGTTGGACCATAAAGTTAGCCAATTCTATGGCTTGGTCAATCTAGGTGCACAGAGAGTAAGATACTTATCACCGATCAATACCGTGGGAGGGTACTATGATAGCACAACACTAGTTGTGTCATCCAAGTGAGAAGTAGTGTGTGTTTTAGTTGTACCATAAAGTTAGCAATTCTATGTCTTGGTTAATCTAGCCCATAAATCTAAGTCTCTTCACTACTGCCCGATTAGGGATTCTTCTAGGTGGAGGGTACTGTGATACCACTACACTAGATGTGCACATCCTGGAGGGAAGTACTGTCTTTTAGTTGGACTATAAAGTGAGTCAATTCTATGGCTTGGTCAATCTAGGTGCACAGGGAGTAAGATACTTATCACCGATCAACACCGTGGGAGGGTACTATGATAGCACAACACTAGTTGTGTCATCCAAGTGAGAAGTAGTGTGTGTTTTAGTTGTACCATAAAGTTAGCAATTCTATGTCTTGGTTAATCTAGCCCATAAATCTAAGTCTCTTCACTACTGCCCGATTAGGGATTCTTCTAGGTGGAGGGTACTGTGATACCACTACACTAGATGTGCACATCCTGGAGGGAAGTACTGTCTTTTAGTTGGACTATAAAGTGAGTCAATTCTATGGCTTGGTCAATCTAGGTGCACAGAGAGTAAGATACTTATCACCGATCAACACCGTGGGAGGGTACTATGATAGCACAACACTAGTTGTGTCATCCAAGTGAGAAGTAGTGTGTGTTTTAGTTGTACCATAAAGTTAGCAATTCTATGTCTTGGTTAATCTAGCCCATAAATCTAAGTCTCTTCACTACTGCCCGATTAAGGATTCTTCTAGGTGCACTCTTTAGGGGTTCTCTTCTCCTAGGTGCACTTTCGACTAATTTCTTTTAATTGGACCATAAAGTTTGGCTTGGTCAATGTAGCACGCCTTAGTTGTGTTTAGTTTGACCATAAAGTTAACAATTCTATGTCTTGGATAATCTAGCCCATAAATCTAAGTCTCTTCACTATTGTCCCTTCTAGGTGCACTTATAGCCACTTATTTATAATCACTTTAGTTGTTGGCCATGGGGTTCAAACCCATGCGCACTTGTGTGCAGAAGATCTTAAGTCTTCCCCCTTAACCTCTCGGGCAAACCAACTAATTTTTTTACCAAAATTAAATTTAGCTAAACTAAATTTAAATTAATTAAATAAATATTGAAAATAAGTATGAATACTAAATTTGCGTTTGAGAAATATATTTGAGAAATATATTAGAAAATGATAAGAGTTGGGACATCATACGGTTTAACACATAGTAGTCTACCTTTGCATTATATGACCAAGGAATACAATCGTCATTTATAGCTTCTATCACAATAATAAAAATTCTTATTCTACCTCCATTGATCGTATAAGACAAACCATTCACCACACGCAAGTCAATGAGACGTTCACCATTCTTGTTATACACTTTCATTGCAAACCTTCCGACTTTTTGCAATTCTTCTTCATTGACATTTTTAATTGGAACTAGATTTGAAGAAACAGTTCTTCACACCTCATTTAGGAACACCTTTGATTGATAATTTCAACAAACTTTGTTCATGAATAGTTGAAGTTCGATATTTATAGTTGTGGTTGAACGCTATTCATATTGATATAGCCGAATCTTACAACAAAGACTAATTTCAGATTCCTTTGCTAGGAGATAGCTTTGAATCAAATTCTTTGGTTTGGATAATGGTGGCATTGTTTTAGTTAAACAATTAATCAAATGTATTACTAGTAGAACAAACATTTTGTAGGTATATTTTTAGTTTTAGTAATAAATTACACATTAATAGTTCGATACAAGGTTACAAAAATTTGTGAGTAGAAGTTTAGATTGAGCTCGATTGAACAGGTAATCTTAAAGTATATTTAAAACTAAATATGATTTCCTTTTTATACATTCACAACAACAAAATGTGCATTTCACTACTATTATAGGAGGCTTAACTTAGCCACTTATTTCTAATCTCTTTATTTCATCTTAAGTCATTAGACGATTGACCTACAAGTAAGCTTGAAAAATACACACCCGGGGAATCGAACCCCAGTCAGTACCATTGGAGGGTACCCACTACACACTAGATGCGATAGCGCACATCGGAAGTAATGTATGTTTTAGTTGGACCATAAAGTAAGTTTGGCATGGTTAATCTAGCCCTATCACTTCACTACTATTAGAAGATTGACCTACAAGATCGAACCCCAGTCAGTACTCATAAAGTAGTCAGTGGGAAGTAAGCTTGAAAAATGAACATCTGTGGAATAGAACCTCGGTCAGTACCGTGGGAGGGCACTATGATACCACTACACTACATTGCACTTCCAGGTGGGAAGTACTGTGTGTTTTAGTTAGACCATAAAGTTAGCCAATTCTATGGCTTGGTCAATCTAGCCCTATAAGGCCCATAAGTCTAAGCCTCTTCACTACTATTTTCTCTTGATTGCATCTAAGAAATTAGACAATTGATCTACAAGAAAGCTTAAGAAAATGCACATTCAGAGAATCGAACCATGATTAGTACCGTGAGAGAGTCTATGATGTTGGGATTTATGTCATAAAGCCTCGAGTAATACCACGGGAGGGTACTATGATACCACTACACTAGATGTGGGCCATTGACTTTTCCTTAGCTCTTTATCAATACTTTTTATAAATTAAAAACTAAAAATATACTAAAATAAAATATAAAAAAAATCAATAAATAGTTAGATGTTGTTTCAAAGCAATTATATATGGTGGAAATTGAAAAAATATTAGACCGTCTCCACATACCAAAACACCCCTCCTCTGTTCAGAAAATCTTAAGTCTTCCCTTTAACTTCTCAAACAAACTAGCTAATTTTCTTCATCAAAATTAAATTTAACTAAACTAAATTTAAATTAATTAAATAAATATTGAAAATGAGTATGAATACTAAATTTGCTTTCCTAGATGGTTCATAGAATGATCATTTTTGTTTTATATACAAATTTTCTAAATCGTAACATGTTAAGATTATTTTAACTTTTGTTTTTTTTAAAATAATTTATTCTCTTAAAGTAAGTCGGTTGTATCACTTAAACCAATAAAAAAGTTGCATGTTTGAATGCTGTTTTTTTCGACTTAAAAATATATATAGAAAAAGACATATAGAAGAGAGAGAAATGTCGCAAGAGAATCGCGCAAGTAATCAGGCGAAGAATAAATGATCCGTCATATATAGGTCGTCCAAAACCCGCATTATAAAAAGTAGACTTTTTATAACATGGATTGTTACGATGTATGAAAAACATTGTAGAATGACTGCGATAGCGTTTTTAGTAAGCTATTGTATCTAATATTTTTTGGAGTGTTAATTAGAATTTTTATACTCGTGCTATTGTTTCTAAACTTACATGACTTTTAGCAGTGAGACAGTATCAAAGAATCAAGAATATGAGTATCAGATTTGAAATAGGTTTGAGTCATGTATTGGCTCTTGTAATTTTTTTACTATATTTTATTGTTTTAAAAAATATTGTATCAATAGATCTCTACATAGATATCAAAAAAAATTATTCACATCAATCTCATTTTAATTTCAATATGGTATCTTTAGACTCTTTCGATGA